TACTATTACTCCTCCTTTGACAGCCAGCATATGAACCTATCAAACGGTATTCCACCTTAGGCCAAATTCAGGCCATATCCTCACCTACACAGATGTTTGTAAGTAGCAGTGTTGGGTAAATACCTGTTCTGTTGTTTTATTACTAGGTCACTGCACTTCATAGCTAATACTTCAGCACAATAATGCTAACCTCTTGCTCTGCGAAAGCTCAACCAGGGCTTTTTTCTGTTTCATTTGTTTGTTTCTTTGTGTTACTTAGACTCATTTAGAAGAAAATGTACACTGAAACTGAACGGACAATGGAAGGGTAAAGTCCAAGTATGACTCTAGAATTGTTAACTACAAAAAGAAAAAAAAGATTAGCATGACAACACAAGAGGCTCTCTAGAGATTTTTATAAACACCAGCATAAGAAACATCAGCATAAGAAGCACATTAACAAAAAAAATCAGTGAAGGAAATACTTTTAAAATATTCTAATTCCTTTTACTTCTGATACAGAAGACTTCTATAAATTGTTCAAACAACACAATTAGTCTGCATATGAAAACAGCATAAATGACTAAAAAAAGAGTAATTAAAAGTTGCTATTTTTTATTTATAAATAAATAAGACATTAAAATTCTAAGAGCAGAATCAGATTTATGGCATCCTCTGCATGGACTGCTTCTTGATCAGCTCCTAATTTATTGAATGAACTTTTTAAACGCATACTTAAAAAATAAGACTGAGACATGACCTTGAAATGTTTTCTGTAGATTACAGCCTTTCAAGAACTGTTTGAAAAGGGACTCAAAGACCAGTACAGATAGCCTAGATAGTAAGCTTAAAATCAGTCCAAGCATCCTTCATTTGCCAGAAAGAATTATCACCAACACGTTTGCTTCTGCTTAATTTGGATGAACAGATCTGTTGGTCTTAATAGCTTGCAAGGGTAAACACGTTAAGAAATATATACAGCACTGGAGCTTTAGTTTTATTCAAACTTAAGGCTTTTATTATCTGAAGCATTTTATATTTTACTTATATAATTTGGGGGAAATCAGATATCGAACTATTTAGAACAGAAAGTCTAGAAAACAATTTATGACTAGAGCTACAATATTTCAGTGACAGACCACCATGGTGCTATATGCTATATAAAAATCTTTTTTCTAATCTTGCCTGTACCTAATGAGATTAAAATTTGCTATCCCCTCAATGGTCTTTATCCAATTATCTAGGCAATACATTTCAAGACTACTAATTTCATGGGTTTTGTGATAAAATAATCTTTTTTTCTCTTTTAGCAAACTCCTTGCAAATTCCTATGGTCTACAGCAAAAGAGATGCCAAAGATTTGATTCATATTCATTATTTGCATATTCCTGGTCACAACAGGTTTGTTTTTTTTCTACCCAGTTAATAAAAACCCACCTTAAAGTGTATAATACTCTTCCATCACTCCAGATTCGAAGCAAACGATTTGGAGTAGTAATCCAATGAGCATCAGATTTCCTTGAGTTCCGGAAGAAAGTGTCTGGAATCCAAATTTTTCCAACCATATTGCTATTGAGCATAAGCACCTTCATTGAGCTGTTAAATTTTAGGCGACTGTCATACCAAGTCTGGGCAAAAATTATGTCTATAGTGTATTCCTAAAAACACAGAAACAGCCATATCTATGTATACAGTTGCCAAAATCTGCAAAGCAACAGTTCATAATTCATGTATAAATCTAAGGCCGCTTCCTCCATTCTCTTTTGTATTACCATTTGCATAGCACATAGCAGCCTGAAACCCCAAACTGAGCAATTACAGGCTGACAAAAGATACACGCAGCCTTCTGTCCCTACTTCCTCTCCCCTGACACACATTGATTAGTTAAGGAAGATGAGGTATGATGGGAGCTTGCTGTAACTTAGAGCTCCCCATACAGCACAACCACTTCTGGGGGCCCTAGACAGAAATTTAAGTGCAACCTTAATGCCTCAGGGCTAGACCATGTACCGTGTTTGTTAAGACAGAGATTTGACATCTCCGATGAAGCAAACCAAATAAACTTTCTCTATTTTTCCCCAAACTTTACAACACCCAATTTAAGATCCTTAAAGAAATTTCAGATTTTAAAAAAATTCATGAATAAACATGAAGTAAACATCACAGTTTGCAGAACTGTCTGTTACCATCTGCCTCGTATATCTACCTACATACACACAAAATGTAGATAATGATAATCAGGAAGGATGTTTCCCTAAAGCAATTTCACTTTACTTATTAAAGCCTCAAGAAAGCTCCTTTTGTGATAGGCAAATTCCTTAGTAGACTTATAGCCAGAAACGAAAGGCAAGAAATTAATTAATTAATTAACTAAATGAAAAACCCACAGCCTTTTAATGAGACAATTTTTGGTGCAGTAAAACTTGAGGGAGATATACATTACAGATGCAATGAAATACTGTCTCTCAAAGAATCCAGCCAGCTGTTCCTGCACTCCAAACTAAAGAGCAAAGCAGCAGCCTCCTCTGTGGTATTCATCACAGCCCCAGACCATGACTCTGACCTTAAGGGAATGGTCTCTCTGTTTGATATCAGAAGTGATCTTTCCTGCACGGCTGCCCCATGAGGGCTCCAATAAGCAACTCCACAGCTCCTCTGCAGGAAAAAGGGCTGGAGACCAGACCTGGATACTTAGTGTTGGCTGTTCAACTCTCAGTGATGGGATTTGAGGACCGGAGGAAGACAGAAGCAGAGAGTGGTTCAAACTCTTGCTCGAGCCAAAGGCATCGGTACTAGTTTATTCAGTCAAAAATGCACAAAACAGTCAATTCTGTTTTGAAACAAAAGTGGAAGGCTTTCCTGGTTGGAGTAGGGGTTTTCTTCACTTGTAGGTAATCACAGCAGCTAACTGTACAAGTTACAGACTCCTCACTCATTTCTGCAACTGATACCACTCATCTCCCAGGAAAGACTGTGAAATTTGGCACTTCATTCGTGAGAAGTGCCAAGGCAGATATTCCAAGACTACCTAAATCTCTCTCAATTTTCCCACCTCACCAGGTGGCAGAACAGATTTAGGAAAAAGATACGCAAGAAGGAGGCTTGCCCTTGTTCTGTGATGTATAGCAGTTGAATTACCACCTGGGCTGTGGTAACCCAGGGACACTCAAAGTTATGAATAACTTGTGGATGAGACAAACAGCAGAGGGACAGAGGAAACAAAAGGACTAATAAAAATGCATTTAAGAGATGACTTCGCTCAAAAAGTCTGTTTATTCCTTGTGAAGCACTGCCATCAGGGGAAGATACTGCAGGTCAAAACAGGTCCTTGATTATTTTATTTCTGTAAAAAAACATTCAGGACACCTGTGAAAACCCAGGGCCTGTTTAACCTTAAAATTCAGCTTTCAGTGCTCATCTATAGCGGTTACAACTGGAAAGGAAACTTGTCTTGCTGTAGTGTAAATGAGAGCCTAAGGCAGTGCAAGGGAGAAGTGTTTTAATGGGCTTAAATGGAACAGAATGAACACAGATTTACATGTTGCTTTTACAGTACAAATAAGAGAAAAAAAAAAGTCAGTGAGTGAAATCAACAGACACAACCAAATGTATGAAAAGAGCAGACTGTCTGATTTTGAAGGTGCTACTCTAAGCAGGCACTTCACAGCAGCACTGCATTGCCTGACAAAAAAAGAAATTTATCAAAGCGTCATTACAGTCAAATCCACACAGAGCAAGAAAACTCAGGTTGTCATGGAATACCAACCACCTTAACAAATTAAGATAAAACAGGAAGAGGAGCTTATGGATTTTGAACACATAAAGCAAAAGAACAGCCTTGGCAGACCCAGACGCCTGTATTTTCTTATCTTTCAGTATTAAATGTGCAAATTTTTATCATACTCACAATATTACAGGAGCTATTTAAAGAACTTATTTTAAAAAAAAGAAAAAAATAACAAAAAAAACTTTGTTAAAATCCTTCATGACACATTTCAAGGAATCACAGAATTATTGAGGCTAGAAAAGACCTCTGAGGTCATCAAGTCCAGCCTATGACCCAACACCATCACATCAGCCAGATCATGGCACTAAGTGCCACATCCAGCCTCTCCTTAAACACCTCCAGGGACGGTGACTCCACCACTGCCCTGGGCAGTGCATCCCAGTGCCTGAGCACCCTCTGTTTCAGGCCATGCCCTCTTGTCCTGTCACTAGTTTCCTGGGAGAAGAGCCTGACCCCCACCTGACTACAACTCCTGCACTTGCAGCCCAGAAAGCCAATCATGTC